CTTCAACTGGACTTTGGGAGCTCAGTCCATTGCTCTGATGAGAGTCTCTGTCTCTATCTCAATCCGTCGCCGAACAAAGATTCATATTCATCTTTTTGGGTCTGGGTTATCTCATTCAGAATAGTGTTTTCTATTTCCATCCTTTTGCATGCAAAATTCAAGATGTCATTGTTTTTTGTTTTTTGTTTTTTTTCTGCTGAGTAGTACTCTAATGTGTATATTTTCCACACTTTCTTTATCCACTCTTCCATTGAAGGGAACCGGCAGGCGGCCATAATCACAGAGTTCTCATAGCTCTTTGTACCTTGGAATGAAATGAGGTTTTTTTTCAGATTTAACAAATAAAAATCATCGATTCTCCATTTGAAATGTGAATTGTGACTAGACAACAAATAATACTGAAATCATTATTTGGTATCTATTTTGTTCCTTGATGTGTTAAGTTGTACTAAAATGACTCTTTTGATTCTGGCATAGTATCCACCTATTATAGAAAGAGAAACAGGCACAGAAACATCAGTTGTAATGGAAAATTAATTTGATGGGATGAAAGTGGCAACAGTGTACTGGAAGTATGATTAACAACAAAAGTAGACTTTTGAATAATTTTATGAGGAGAGAGCGATTTAAGCGAGGCAAACACCTGAAATTCCAGCACTCAGAAAGCAGAGACAGGAGTATCACTACAAATTTGGGCCTAGCCTGCTCTACATATGGAGTTCCAAACAAACTTGTGTTGCATGATAAGACATAGTTTCAAAAAATGAAATAGAAACAAACAATCAAACAAGACCAACAAACCCTTAAACGGTGAAATTGGAGCTGGACTTTGATTGGGGAGGTAATGTGAACATTTAGAGGAGATAGCACATTTTGTTTTAAGGTAGAAGGAAATCTTAATCATAGGAGTGTGTGGGTGGGATAGAGAGGACAAAATGGACCAGGAATGAATTTCATGAGAACTGTCATAGCAAAGTAAATTGTGTCAAGGAGACAAATTGTGGAGGACTTCTGATGAACTAGCCTGCCTCCATCTTATGCCTGAAAACTATCTTGTAGTAAAGACAAACTCAGTTCATTCTTGTTTATGATTTAATCTCTGTTTCTCAAGGATTGAGTTATGCCCCACCTGTAACCTTAACTACAAATGGTTCTCTGTACTGCCTGTTGCAGGAAACAGCAACCATGCCTTTGTTTCAAAAGGTTATATGACCACCTGTTCTCATGACCACCCATTGTTATGACTACCTTATGATTACCTTGCAAACATGTCTTTGTTCCAAAAAGTGGTAATGACTATTTTGAAACCCTAGTATTGTTTCAAAAGGTTATGACTATCTTGTTCTAACTGTATTATTATGGCTACCTTGCTATATTCTGCTTCTATAACTCTATTTTGCCCACCAACCTCCCCCTTTGGAAACCCCACTACCCTGAGCTATAAAAATCTTTTCTTTCTTATGTCCAATGATGACCTCTCAAACCCACCATAGGGAGAGGCAGCTTCTGTACATGAATAAAAAACTTGATTTAACTAATTTTGTTGGGGTTGGTGATCTTTCTCCTCAAATCTTTGGGATTAGTACATTTCATTGCACATGGAGTATCTATCACTTTCTTTCAGAGTTTGGGACAGGGTAAAAGTGGGTCTTTGCAAAATGGTGAGAGGGATGGAAATCAATTTTGAAGTTGTTAATAGCACTTTACATTGGCATAAATAGTATGGAGGCCACGTCCCAGTGGGTGGGTAGCTTAATGGCTACTGGCGGTAGGAATTCCTACAGAAGCTCCCCCCTTTGTTTAAATAAGAGCACTCTAAGCCTAATACAAAATTATAAGCAGTAAGAACAAATATAACAAGCAAGAAACATGTGATAAACGTTTCAATAATTATCCCATTCTAATGAGTTTAAGTCTTGTATAATAAATAACTTGTCCAAGTCACGAGAGGAAAGTAACTACAACTATCAAGTCTTCAACCCCATCAAAGGTCCGAGAAGACAGATAATATTCCTTGAGTAAGCAGGAACTGCAACCAAACAACTTCCAAAAATGTACAACAAATGACAGAGATAACAGGTTACCTTGGCAATCACCCAAAGTCTCATTTGCAACGTTGAAGCAAACAACTTTGGCTGAGGCCTAGAATAACTGACAGACCATTTTTAGAGGCAGGAAATTTTTCAGAACCGTCTTACCCTGTCTTGGCAAGATTTGACAGTCTTTTTCCTGGTGTCCTGCTTATCCATTTCCGGATACCATGTACCTTATCGGTGGTTGAAGAATGGGCAGTTCCTTGCCCAAAGGCCAATCTTGCCAAGAAGAAAACAAGCTCTGAGTGGAGTGTCTTCAGTGCTCAGCATTCTCTCTGGAATAGATCAGTGTTGCCGGGAGCAATCGTGTCTCACTTTAACAGAAGTTATTTAAATGCCATATTGTATGGCTCTTTGAAGTGGTTAAAGATTATCTATGCAGAATACAATCTCTATGTATCTAAAAAGCCTGATTAGTCTGACTATAAGTATGACAAACATAGAAGACTACTGATCCATAATTCTTAATACCTATATAACCTAAAGACTAAGACTTCATATTAGAATATTGTACAATAAACAACTGTGTAACAAAGGAGGACAATAACCTCAAAATGTAAGCAATGTATAAGTATCTTGATCAGAGGTAGAAATGTACATTGCAATATGATAAATACATCCTAAGATTGTATCAATAAACAAAAATGTTTTAAGCAGAGGTAGAAGCATGCATGCATTCAATCTGACAAAACATCAGGTCTCTTTCTCAGCCAATCTTTATGTATTGAGGTAGGGTTTGACAACCACAAGCCAGTAAATACTAAACCGTCATCTCCCCTATGCCCCCCATGAGAACACACTTTCCAAGTGCCTTCTTTCTCTGCCTTGTGCTGCACGCCTCCGCTTGGGGGCTTGATGCCATTGCTTACTTTTACCTGTGTCTCTTGCTGAGGGTGCACCTCAGCAATCCTTCTAGAAGATGGCCTGGTCTCCTTATCCCAGTCTATGGTGTGAGCCTTTGCATATATTATGCCCTCCACCTCAGTCTAAGCACGATAGGATGTTGGCGATGAAGGAGGTGGGTGAAGGAGATTGGAAGCACATCTTGCTGTGTGTGCTGGCAGCTTAGGAAGACCCAAGCCACAGGGCCAAATCCCAAAGTTGGTGAGTGGGGAGAGGCGTCAGGCAGGGTCTCTCCTGTGGGCTCACTGCTGACTCAGAAACAAAACCCCCCTCCTCCAGAACTCCGTGGCTCCATCTGGGGAAATCCTAATCCTTTCCCTCTTCCTTGGCAGGGTTCCTGTCGCTGGAGCGGGAGGCGGTGAGAGGCGGTGCGCTTGGGTCAGGGGGAGGCGGGGGGGGGGAGGGGACTCCACTAACTTTGTAGTTCAGTTTCAGGGACCGCGGTGACATTCTGCTCGGCGCCGCCGGCAGGCCAGAGCCTCGGGTGAGCAAGAGAGGGCACCGTGCAGAAGCCATCGCCCCCTGCAGAGTCGCCAGCGCGTTTGGATGGAAGGAGCCGCGACCTCAGACGCAGGCTCGATGGAGCCATTCGCCCTCCCAGGCCTCCTCTTCACCATCACCCTGCTGCTCCTGGCCCTGCGCCTCCTCACCCAACGCACCAGGTAAACTCCAATGCTGTCACGGCCACGCATGCGCGGGATCGCGACCGCACAACCTCGTGGGCACCCGAGTCCCTTCGGGTTGGCGGGTACAGGCCGATCTTGCTCCGGGAGCTTCTGGGTGTCCTAACAAAGGCTCTGCATGCAACTCTCCACGCATTCACGCCCAGAGTACAGCTGTTCTGTCCAACCTTACTTGCTGCGCGGCACAGTCTCGGGCTTCCCAGGTTTGGTGAAGCATCCTGCCATGGCCTTTGCCTGGGCCCATGCATGTTTTTTGACCCAGAATTCTCCGCATTTCAAGGAGAGATACTTCTTGAATTTTATCTAGTTCAGAGAGAAATGTTTTAAGAAAATGCTGATGCGCAGTGTGGGTGCTGCTCAGTGCCTCAGTTTATCCAATTGTACCTCACCTGGAAAATTAGAAACAACAGAACCTACCAATAATGATCATGGGACTTTTGTGAGAAGCAAAGGTGTTAATAGTATTTATGCCTTCGTTCTATTTATTTTTCTGAGGACAACAAATAGTAGCGACAGGGAAACTCATAAGTGCGTAACTATCTGGCTGGAAACGTGGAAGCAGAGAAATGAGAACACAATTATTCACTTCCCATTTATTTTGTTTTTCCATTAGTGCCTTATCTTTTTCATGCACAGTTTTCATGGCTTTTGAAAACGAAACAGGTTAATCTGGGGAGAAGAGTATTACTAATTAAGTATCTATCAATGTTTTGGGGACATTGACACAGTTGTACCTCATACAAATAAATATCCGTGGGAGTTTCTGAAGTACCACTTGAAAAATATTTAAAGTAATAGTATTTAGATTTTCTCGTATGTGAGTTTTCAGAGAACTTTCTGGAACTTTGCCCTTCCTCTTATGTAGTCTTCTACACTCCTACAGCTGCAGAGCTCAGGGTATTAGGTTTTTAACTTCAGACTCATGTGACTCTACACCGTGTCAGTTAGGTCGCACTTCTAGGAATATAGATGCCAAGGCTGTTTGTTCTAATCTCCATTTTCATGCAGGGCAGGAATAGTCAAAGCAAACCAGTTCATTCTAGACCATTGAGAGTAACTGGGTGAGAATGTGGAACTCAGGAGGTCCACGGAAAGGTAAAAAAAGCAAGGCAAGTTTTCCTCAGGACATTCGGAGAATAGGCCAGTTTCTCCCTGTTCACTAAGTATTATTTGCTATCTTGTGCATTCCATCAATTGCCAGTTCCTTCACACCAGGAAGACTAGTGCAGATATGTAAGGCACTGCGTTCTAGATCAGTTCATAGGTTGTAGTTCAGTATGGAAAGATATGAGTATATATCGGAAAGACCCACGTATCTGATGGCTTCTCTTTTCTGTGTCTGGACAATTTATTCTATTACCATAGGAAAGTCCTGTCTGGTGTCACCTGTCAAAGAGAAACCATGGCTATAACAAGACATTCTCAATGTTTTGTGTATAATCATATGCTTGAACACCTATTAGTGAAAATGTACAAGTAGAAGTAAAGCAGTCTATTACAACTTGCCTTTCCCACTGTGTGGTATTCTTAGGGGCCGTTGATAACGAACAGAGAGAGTAACTCTCTCTCTCTCTCTTTCTCTCTCACACACATGTGCGCACGCACACACGCGCAGACACACATACACATATACATACACACACCTTTGGGATGTTGTGGATAATGGAGTTGTAATAGTTATGCAACTTCGCTCAGTTACAATTTATGCCACTACTAATGATCTTTTAAGTCCCTGTCACATCACAATTCATTTTGCTTGTGCTAGTCTGATAAAGAAAAGTAAAGTTTTGCGTCTCTCTCTCTCCCCCCCTCTCGTGTATGTGTGTGCATATGTGTGTGTGCAGACATACACATAAGAGCCACTGAAGGTCAAATCCAGGGTCTTGGACATGCCAGGCAAGTACTCTACCACTGAACTACTCCTTTAAAAAGTAAAAAAAAAAAAATCCCAATTTCTGTTTACTTTCGATGGAGTTATCTCTGAAAGTTTCTTTAGTAACTTATTTCCTTTTTAGTTATTTTTTTTTCAGAGTCAAAACTGACCCAGGGCCTTGTATGTGCTAGGTAAACACTCACCTCTAAATCGCACCCTCAGCCCTTTCTTATAACGCTCACAGAACTTCGCACCCTTCTGTCTCTACTGCATCTATTTCATTTTACTGCATTTTACTTCATAGAGTTTCTGCATATGCACCCTATTTAGAAAACATTTGAAAGTCCTGACATGCTACAAATCCCCACCAGTGTTGTCCCTCATCACCAGCTAATGTCTACGGAGATGGTATACACACAGTGGCTAGATTCAGTTCTTACCCTGTGAGCAATTTTGCCTGGAATGCTTGTAATACAGTGTTTTACAGGAACTCTGCTTGTTTTACCTACAAAATGGCTAAGACTAGGGGAGAATAGGACAAGCCAGAGGTTGGTTATTGCTCTTGCCTGTTTTTCAGATGTCTTCCATTCTTTCCCTCATCCCTTGCCCCACGCCCACACCTTTCCATCTCTGTTTCTTTTTGAGACTGGATCTCAGGTTAGTCCTAACTGCTGGGACCAAGGGATCCTTCCACTTTAGTAGCGGAGACTAGAGGGCATGTCACTGCTTTCAGGCCACCTGGATTTATGGATGGGGGTGGTGTAGGATTCCTTCTCCTTTCCAGGAAGATGATGACTACTGAGATTGTCAAACACAGATACCATCATAGTGCTGTAACGGGGAGAGGGGAGGAGGGGTAGCAGTGGCGCAACTTAGAGCTATCACTCCAGGAAGGACGGAAAATGCTTAGAATCACCATATATTTTGGATAATAGAATTAACAGCATCTCCCAGTGGCAGGTGAGAAGAGAGTCACGATTGAAGTTTACATTTTCTCAGGTCCTTTGCTCTCTAGTTCTCAGGGTGGAAATGGAGTTGGAAAACTGTTACTTGTCCACAGCAATCGCATCATTTTTCACCCTTCCAGCAGTAATACATTATATTCAACTCAATCAATAGCATCACCAAAATATGAGACTTTCTCTGTAAGCCATAGCAAGAAAACAGCTGCCTATTGACCAGAAAGCAGACCTTCACGAGATACTGAGTCTGATCAGTCCCCTGATCCTGAGCTTCCCAACCTCCAGAACAGTGAGAGATAAATTTCTCTTTCTTATAAGCCACTGGCCTTGTGGTATGATGTTACAGCAACTGCTATGCTTTAAAGACGATGAGATTCCACCCTAAATGTCCTCTACATGGGGGCAGTAGCTGAACTCTGGGCAGAATACAGCTCCAGAAGCTCATTTCTCAGTGTTTAGATTTCTTTCCTTGACTTTTGGTTACTCCAGTCACAAGCTGGCACCTCACGTGATAGTGTAACTTTTCTGGGGGTAGGGGGGGGCAGGTAGTACTCCATCTTTGGTCTCCTTTCTCCTGGATTTCTTTAAAGTTCTTAGTATCTCCATCACCTGTTTTGGGGTCCTATTCTTTAGTAAATATATAATTTTTATAGTCATCTGTGGTGGTACCAATTTCCAGGCAACTTCACATGTCTAGAACCCAAATTCTATGTCAAATTATCAGATATTCAGTGATAGTTCTAACCAGATAATGTGGAATGTGCACGCCTGTGCATGTGCATGTTTTGTTCTCTGTATTTCCAAGATTTATTTTACTTTATGGGTATGAGTATATTGTTGACATATATTTCTTCTGGTTTCAAATTTTTAGTTAAGATCTTTGATCCACTTGGAATTGATTCTTGAGCAGGTAGAGAGCAAGGGAGGGATTTAGATTTACTTTTATACACATGGATAGATAGTTTAAAAATCAGTTTTTAAGTACATGGTTACTGGTTAAACTTTAACTCCCTAACCTTTTGGAATCATTGACCTTTTCCTTGTCTTCTTAGCTTTGCTTTTCCCAGCATGATCATGTATGTAGCATAGAATATAAATTCAAGGTCCTATGTGATTACTCTTTCTTCTCACTCATTAATATTCCCATATATGAATGTGTACAGCAGGTTCTTCTACCTACTGAAGAATGTCTTAGTGGTTTCTAATTTTGGACATTTGTGAAGAAGGTTGCTAAAAATATTCATGTGAAGAATTTTATGTAGACTTAGGTTTTCAACTTTTTGGTAAACACCAAGAGCATAATGGTTTTGAATTTTAAAGTATACTTAATTTCTTCATGAAAATGCCAAAGTGGCTATGGCATTCTGCTTCTCTACCTGTTGTGAATAAGTGTTCTCGTTGATTCACACACTTGTCATCACTGGGTGCTTTCAGTGTTTACTTCTTAACCTTCTAATAGGTGATTTGGTGCTTTTTCATTATTTTGATTTGTAATTCCATGATGACTTTTCATACGCTTGTTTGCTGTTCACATGTTTCCCTTGGTCAGTTGTCTGCTCGGGTGTTTTGCCCAGTTTTAATGATTGTTTTGTCTTGTTATTGCTGATGCTCAAGTGTTCTTCATACACTTTCGTCATCAACCTTTATTAGTCTGTGTTTTGAAAGTGTTTTCTTTTAGTCTATGGATTGCTTTTCCATTCTAAACAACATCTTTTGCAACACAAGAGTTTTATACTTTAATGCAATTTAGCTTATTTCTTCCCTGTTGGTCATGCTTTTGGTATTATATTTAAGAAGTCGCTACAATATCTTTCACATCTTTCTTTTTGTTAATGTTTTTCTGCTTCCTGCCAATGTTCACATTAACAACTGAAGTTTTAGCCTACTCAAAGTAAGTGTGGTTATTTTTGAGT